AGGAAAGAGTTGCTGCACCCTATGTCCAGAACTAGCTCAGACAATCAGTAAATAGTTGTTGAGTGAATGAATAAATCAATAGATGGATGGATGAATGAATAGAATTGAACCCAAAGCAAATGAATCTTTTCCTAGGCAATGGGCACCTCTGTTGACAACATACAAATGAACTGAGATTTTACCTGAGTTCTGGTGTTAATCTGTTAAATTTACTTTATTTTACAAGGAAGAGAAATGACTTTGGTTGTTTCCCTAATTTTAATTCACAGTCATTTTATAGAGACTGAGTCCATCTGGGGTTATTTATTGCCAAAGTTGGTATGTCAAAGAAGGTACCCATGAAAAAGTATTCAGCTTTCAGCCAAAAGCACCGTTTTCTACAACAAATGTAGTTTCCAATAACAGACAACATTCTGAACTCAGAGTTGTAAATCAGAATTCCTGCACTCTTTTGTTTCTATTACAGTTGACGTTGAATATTATATTAATTTCAGGTGTACGACATAGCGGTCACACATTAATATAACTTACAAAATGATCTCCCCAATAAGTCTAGTATCTACCTGGCACCATACATAATTATTGCAATATTATTGACATATTCCCTATGCTGTACTTCATATTCCCATGACTATTTTATAACTACCAAGTTGTACTTCTTAATCTCTTCACCTTTTTCACCCAGTCCTCCAACTCCCCTCTCATCTGGCAACCATCAGTTTGTTCTCTGTATCTATGAGTTTGTTTCTGTTTGGTTTGTTCATTTATTTTGTTTCTTAGATTCCACATATAAGCAAATTCATATGGTATTTTCTTCCTCTGTCTGACTTATTTTGCTTAGCATAATGGATCCTCTAGATTCATCCATGTTGTTGCGAATGGCAAGATTTCATTTTTCTTTTTTTATGGCTGAGGAATATTACAAGTTCTTGTACCCTTAGGACAAAACCATCAATATTACAAGAAAGCTCTTTGCCCTTTTTAACAAATAGACTTAGCTGAAAACCAAGATATAGACTAGGTACAGATTTAACCTTAGTCTGATAGTAACAGGTATGTAAACATTTGCTAGCCTTTTTGTCCTCTAAAACAGAGATGGTTGTCCTCACAAAGCACAATAAGCAACACACAAGGTCCCATTAACAGCTGATAACCAAAAATGGACTCTTCTGTTTCAGTTCTAATTCCTAGCCTGGCTGAATTTAAAAACCTGAGGCATCTAATTTTGTTTCCTCGGCCATTTCAATTATAACATCTAGCCAAGACTGAATTAAAGAACTTAGATCTTACACCTTTCTGCTTCCTCTATGCTAGGGTATCTCTATCACAGCAATATTGACATTTGGGGTCATAATCCTTTGTGATCAAGAGCCTTCCTGTACTTTGCAGGATGTTGAGCAGCATTCCAGGCCTCCATCCACCAGATGCCAATAGCATTTCCTGCCCCAAAATGTGACCACCAAAAATGTCTCCAGCCATTTCCAATGTCCCCTGGGGGCAAAATTACCCCCAGTCAAAAAACACTGATCTACACCATGACAAGGAACTTGAACTCTGATTCCCCCAAACAGCAGACAAGCTTGTAAATAAACATAAAGAGCTGACTTCAGGCCTTCTAGATGCAAAGTTACCCACCTCACTTGCCCACCTCTTCACCCTTTCTCTCTCAGTTCCAACAGTAACTTCTCATGATGTCTTTTGCAGAGATCGCCTCCCCAAACACAACCAAAGGCAAGAAAGAGGTGAGTGGAAGCTGACTGCTGGAACTTAGCCAGGTAACAAATGTTTACAAAGCCCCAAACTAGCAAATGGCAGTGGATACTATATATTATATGTGTACTACATATTATATATCATATATTGATATACTGTATATCATATACATGATATATATATCTCACTATAAAGGTAGAGAGATAATGATGATGATAGTAATAGATGATAGATAGATGATAAATGATGATGATGATTATAGATAGATAGAGATGATAGATAGATATAGTGAGCATGTATATATGGGTATATATGTGTACATGTGTGTATGTACTGTCCCCTAAAGATGAAATCTTATCCGCTAAAGATAGAATCAATCCCAGACCAAGAAAGACAAACTAAGCAAGACTGTATTAGGCTATGCTTAGCTGCTGCAACAAAGAGGCCCAATTATTTAATGATTTTTAAAAGATAGATCTTTATTACTTTCTGAGTTAGCAGTTCAGAGGTGAGAAGTCTAGGCTGGTTAAGGGATTCTGCTCTGTGAGGCTATTAAGGGTTCCAACATTCTTTCCATACTATTGCTCCACCATCCCCTGGCATCTTGTTCTCGACTGCATGATCAAAGCTGGGTTACTGCAATGTTGCGTTCCTGCCAGTGGGGAGAGGAGAGAGGGAATCCAGGGCAAGTCGCCTGGAGTACAGGGTGAAAAGAAGAGAGTAGAGAGAGGAGACGCATCTACTCACTGTATAATGTGCTAATAAGGGTATGATCATTTCCTTAGAGACTTTTTTTTCTTAATTTTTCGATTACCATTGACATTCAGTATTATAGCAGTTTTAGATACACAGCATAGTGATTAGAAATTAATATAACAACGAAGTAATCACTCTGATAAGTTTAGTACCCTGACACTATGTACATCACTCTGATAAGTTTAGTACCCTGACACTATGCACATCTGACACTGTACATAGTTGTTACAATATTCCTGGCTATATTTCCTATGCTGTGCTTAACATCTCATGACTATTTTGTAACTACCAATTTTATTTCTTAATTCCTTCACCTTTTTCACCCAGCCCACTAACTCCCCTCCCATCTAGCAACCATCAATTTGTTCCCTGTATTTTATGAGTTTGTCTCTGTTTTGTTTGTTCATTTATTTTTTTTAGATTCTACATATTAGTGAAATCATAAGGTATTGGTCTTTCTCTATCTGATTTATTTCAGTCAGCATAATACCCTTGAGGTCCATCCATGTCGTTGCAAGTGGCAAGATTTTATTCTTTTCTTGTGGCTGAGTAATATTCCATTGTGTATATATATATACACAATCTGTTGTCATCTAGACTGTGAGCTTCTTGAGGGCATAAATAAGAGCAAGTCCACATCGGAAGTTCCACAAATGTTCACTGAAGTCATAAACAAATAATCAAGCAATCAATAGGAATATTTCATTACAAAATTTCATTGCCAGCTCCCTCGAAAAGTTAAACACAGAATTACCATATGACCCAGCAACTCCACTTTTAGGAATAAACCCAAGAAAATTGAAAGCGAGAACCCAAATAAATATTTGCACATCCATGTTCACAGCAGCACTAGTCGCAACAGCCAAAAAGTGAGAACAACCTAAATGTCATCAGTAGATGAAAGCATAAACAAAATGTGGTCTATCCATACAGTGGAATGTTATTCAGCCATAAAAAGAAATGAACTTCTAATACATGTTACAATGTGAATGAACCTCAAAAACACACTGAAAGAAGCCAGTCACAAAAGGTCATATAATGTATGACCCCATTTATATGAAATGTCTGGAGTAGGCAAATCCATAGAGACAGAAAGCAGATTAGTGGTTGCCAGGGGCTAGGAGAGGGGGGAGTGGAAAGTGACAGTCTAATGGGTTTTATTTTGGAGTGATGAAAATGTTTGGAACTAGATAAAGGGCAGTCAGGCAGGAGGCAAGTTGTACAACATTGTGGATGTACTAAATTGCCACTGAACTGTATACTTTAAAATGGTGAATTTTATGTTGTGTGAATTTTACCTCAATTAAAAAAAAATGTATTGCCAGAAAAAGGTAGATGTAAAGATCTTATGATAGGTCAGATACTTCATAGCGGTTCTGAAGCCAATACTTTGGTGCCTACTCTGTACAAATAGGTTTGAATCAAGAAGACTTTAGCTGTCATTTAGAGAGAGATTTTCTCTATCAGGAGGCGGGGGTGGGGAGGCAAGTTGCTCCTAAACTAACATGCTCCACTCAGAATTTCCATAAAGACTCAGATTGAAAGAGTAGAACATTAAGAAAGTTTATGTGAACCTCCAGTTCTGAATGTTCCTCCAGTCCTTTGTAATATCGCTCTGCTTATAATTCTTTGGTATGATAGTATTTTCCTCTTTGGATCATTCATTCAGTTCCAGAATACTTACTGAGCATCTACTATTTGCCAAGGGATGTTTTAGTTGCTGGGAAACAGCTGTGAACAAGACAAAGTCCCTATCCTGATGAGACTTACTGTCTAGACCCACAAATCTCCTGGGGAGCTTGTTAAAGTGCAAATGTGAATTTAGCGCACCAAGAGTCTGCATTCCTAACAGTCTCTCAAGTGATACTGATGCTGCTAGACTGAGGACTATGCTTTGAGTACAAAGATGTAGGGATCAGCATAAAAATAGTCTTTCAATTCATTTATGTTTCAGTTTTTAAAGCTTCACCTTGGCCTTCATTCTTCTCCAGCCACTGGCCCATCTCTTTGCTATCTTTCATAGACAAATTTCTTGATTTAAAAAGGCCAGTTAGAGTGTCTTCTAAGCTATAAGTTTACCTAAGAGTTTCTCTTTGTATAGTATTGTAATGTTATAACAATAGAGACTGAAGCATTCTTGGCTGTGAGGGTTGTCTCATGCAATAGAGGATGTGGAGTAGCATCTCTGGTTTCCATCCACTGCATATCAGGAGCACCCCCTCAGTGGTGACAATCATAAACATCTTCAGACATTACCAATGTCCTCTGGGTGTCAAAATTGCCTCTGTTTGAGAACTTCTGGTCTATTTCTAGCAAACTTACCACTTCCCTGTTGGTAAAAGAGGTTCACAATAACTAACCCTTATCTGGTATTTACCAGGCACAGACACATAGCATCTCTTAACTCATTTAATCTTGCCAAAAACTCTATGGAGTCCTATTACTGTCCCATCTTAACTGAGGCACAGAGTGATCGAGTGACTTTCCCAAGGTTGCTCAGCCAGTGAATGGTAGAGTCAGGATTCGAACCAGGTCCTCTGGCTCTAGAACCTGTTTTCTCATGCTTTTGACTGTCCCTCAGGACTGTGGGACCTATCAGAGTGGATTTTTATTATTATCATTTATATCTTTAAAGCTACAACAGGTTGTTGAGAATTTCGAGTCACTTCTCATCAACAAGACTCTCTGGGAAACAGGAGAGAAAAGAGAAGTTGCATCCATGATCACATCTATTCTCCAGACTATGGAATCCAGTGTTCTAGAAACTGCCTTGAAAACCCCAAACCAAGAAATCCAGAAAGTTCAAAACAGCACTATGGGTAAGGAGACAATATGGCCTGATACACACAGGAGGCTGGTTACTAGCTGGGATCTGGATTAAGCAATTAGAAATTAAATACACTGCACGTGTCCATTTATAGAAAATGCAAACTAGTCTATAGGGGGACAAGGGGATGTGAAAAGGGAGCATGAGAAAATCTGGGGAAACTTGGGGTTGATGAAAATGTTCACTACCTTGATTGTGGTGGTGATTTTACAGGTGTACACACCAATAAAATTCATCAAATTGTACACTTTAATGTGTGCAGTTTCTTGTACATCAATTACACCTCCATAGAGCTGCTAAAATATATATATATATTGTCAATCATTTCCAGTGCTAGATCTCAGATTTTGGCTTAAAGTATTTTTTAATCTAGTGCCTACATAACCTAATAGCACATGTAGAAGGAACATCTTACTACATGTTTTAAAAATAAAAATCCTTTTGTTACACATGTCGTACATATTAGTTATATAACCATGTGAGATAATATGTTAATTAGGTTGACTGTGATTATCATTTCACTATGTGTGTGTGTCAAATCATATTGTACACCTCAAATATACATAATTTTTATTTTTAAAAATAAAAATAACTAAAATCCCAAAGCAAGATCAAATATTAATTTTTTAAATTAGAAATAAAACACAAACAAAACTAAATTTAGACCAGCTGAATCTGCCCACAACCCAATCTTCTAATCCTATATCTATATAGGCACATGTTTGATGAAGAGACATATTTGTTGTGTGTATTTTCTTTTACATACAGTTGCACAACCTGCTTTTTCACTTATTACCTCCCTAATATCTTTCCATGTAAATTATGTATAGCATCATTACTGATGTTATTGTCTTCAGTGGTTTATAGAGTTGCATTGTATAAGTGTACCATAATTTATTCATTTCCCCATTCTGGGAAATGTGGGGTTTGCCAAACAACCCTGTAATAAAGACCACTCAAAATTTATCTCTGTGTATTTGTTTGATATTTTCTTAGGATCAACTCATAAAAGAGGAGTTATTAAGTCAAGGGGAAAAAACGTTTTAGACTCTAATACACATCACTATAGTGGCCTCCAGAAATGTTTGTTGTGCTTTTATTCTGCTCAGGGATATCAAAGGATTGGTGTATGTCTAACGAACCATTTCTGTTTCACCAATTTGTCTGATAAAGTACTTTATGCTCTGGAAAAATGATAATAATGAAAATAAATTTAAAAGGTAAAATCTAGTGTCTAACCATCTTGAGAAACTGGAATCTGGACACTTTCATCCTGAATTAAACCATGTTTCATATTATAAGTAACTCATCTTTCCTGATTTAGCCAGGTTCTAATTAATTGGTAACCAGTGCCCACAATGGGCTTCAGTCTTCTTGTTTATAAAACAAGAAAATAATACTGCATAAAATGCACTTAGAACTGGGGCCGGTAATAGCTATGATTTTGATTATTCTATTTTTCATTCTCTATTATTACAAAATTTTACTTAAATAGTATTCTTTTTTTCCTATTCCTATCTACTTTACTTATAATAGTATCATTCTTTGCTATTTTGTTATGCTATTTTGTTACTTGCCTTTTTTACCTTTTAACCAAAAGAAGGCACAATAAAAATCCAGCTTCAACAATGTCCAATTCACAGCCAGTTTTCTTTTTAAGCTAAATATTTTTTATGAGTTTGTTTCTTCATTGCAATTCTTTCATGACTTCAACTTTATTGGAAGCATGGTTCCCTATTATAGAGATAAATCATCAAGTATTTAATTAATTCCTTTTTGTCGAACATTTAGGTCATTTCCCATTTTTTACCATCATCATCTATGCTGCTATGAACTTTCTTATAGCTATATCTACCCTTTCGACCATAATTGTTCTGAGAATAAATTTCTAGAAAGAAATGTTAGAGAATATTAGTTTAGAACTTGGTTTCAAGATTGGAGTCTCACCTAATTTGGAACTTCAGTTTCCTGATATGAATAACAGTTCATCATGGGGATATATGAGGCTGTCATAAGATGACAATGTATAAGGCAATGTATAGCGCAGTGCCTGGCACCTCCTAGACACTTGCGGCCTGTTTGTGTTGCTGTGGACATTTTTAAGGCTTATAAAATACTGTTGTGGTTACCACAGGGAAAAGAGGGTGGAGGAGGTAGAAAAGGATTAAGGAGGTCAAATATATGGTGACAGAAAGAGATTTAACTCTGAGTAGTGAACATACAATGCAATGTATAGATGACGTATCATAAAATTGTACACTTGAAACCTATATAATTTTATTAATCAGCATCACCCCAATAAACTTAATGTTAAAAATATAATAATGGTAATAATGGTATAATAAAGCTTATAATAATGGTAAGCTTGCCCGGTACCTTTCTTATCAGCTATTGAAACTCGAGTTGTTACAGACAATTGCTCTGAGGAAAGAAAGATCTTCAACTTGAACGTCCAAATGAACTCACTGGACATCCACTGCAATGACATCATCCAGGGAAACGTACAAGGTACATATGGTGGCTGCATTCAGAATCCATAAGACATGCACAGCAATATCACTGTGTGAGTCATGAGGAAATATCCCCAGCAGGTTCCTCCCTGATAGATAATTTTCAGCATGGAAGAGACTTCTTTGCAATTTGGGGGCTGTTCTGACTGTGTCTCAGTTCAGGTCCAACCAGAAGCAGTTTGTGGGACAATTTTAAGGAGGTCAAGTGTGAGGATTTCATTTGGGAAGTGATCCCAGGAAACAGCCTCTTCTTTGCCCCTTTCTCACCTTTCATATCATTTTCTTCTAAGGGTAGAACTTTTTTTATGTAAATCAACTAAACCTCTCTTTTTTCAGTTCTAGTCTCCCAAGTTTTACCGCATTCAATACAAAAAAAGGTTCAGGGCCACAGATACAAAGTCTGTCTCAGAATGTGAGAAGGGAAGAGACACTGAAAAGCTCAACTTATTTCAACCCTCATATATATTAATATGTATGTACATATATGTGTGTATACATGTACGTGTTTACATGTGCGTGTATAAATATCTGTACATATACATCATCTTCAAAAAGGTAAATAATGACTCAGGAAAATGCAAACGAATGCTGTCAAAGACCATATTTGACTCATTAATTAATGAAGAAAGCAATAAAATGATAAGAAGTTCAAAGGCAATTTGAAGAACAGATATTCACACATGAGCGTATTCATGTACGGGACAGTCACAAATGCAGAAATCAATATGCTGACAGATGCACCCTGGTCGATAGCCTGTAGGGCAATGCCATGTAATGTTTGGGTTTATGTTTTCCATAGGGCAGAAAGCAACTGCATATCCACCAGACAAAATGCACTTGTGTTTATGGAAAGCACTGTGCTACTATCAGTGTTCTACATGTTATCTTCTATGCCTACGGCGTAGTGAAATAGAGTTGTTACTTGGCAGTAAAAAATCAATATAAAAGTGCAACACTCCTATAGAATCAGATAATTTCCAATACTCAGCTCTCACTGGCTATGTTGGACATGCACATATATTTAAATACATATATACATGCCTAGAAAAAATCCAGAATAGGTATGTATATGTATTTCTAATCAGTAATTATCTCTAAGTGGTAGAATATTATATGAATTTTATTTCATTTTCTCTTTACTCTTTTTCTCATCAAAATTTTATCATTTAAAATAAATAAACCAAATATACATGTATTGGTATGATTAAATCTTGAAAACACTAACGAGAGTGACAGAATAAATTTGTAAAAGCAACTCTGTGACTATCCTAAAAAGCATTGAATTTAAGACTTTAAGTGGGTGAATTATATCTCAATAAAGCTATTTTTTAACAGAAGAAAGAATGCTATTCATTTTATTAAAAATTTGAATTTTTTCAAGAATATAACTATTTAGTAATATTGGATATCATTACACTGTTTAAGAAATTACTGTCAGTGCCCTGATTCATATTGGTGATTCGAAAGGAATTATTGTAGCTGTGGTAGTAACAACAATAATGTATAAAATTTATTGAGCCCATGTGCCACAGCATCTTCTAAATGTTTTAAACCTATTGATTCAATTAGACCCAGTGCTTTCAGGTATATTTATTATTATTCCTGTTTTACAGTTGAAGAAGCAGAGGCATTGTTTACTAAAGATTACACAGCTAAGTGATTATAATCAAGAGGTTTCTTGAGCTTTGGGCAATGGGTCATCATGGATAGTAAATAGCACTTCATTTATTTGACAGCAAAAATAGTTTTTTTCCCACTTAGTATTTAACATAAATGCAACTTAATCAGTGTGAGTTTGTGACTATAATTGCATTTTGATGAAAATGTTTCTGAAGTTTGTTGCATATGCCCTTATCTTAATAAACAAAAAAAAAAGATTAAAAAAAAGAAGAAGAAAGTTGCATAGGGATATCCAAGTGTGATAACATTTATGTGAATTTTTAAACAAAGAAAATAAGAATATATATTGTTATAGAAACCTACATATGTAGTAAAATTACAAAAGTATTCATGGAAAGGCTACACTTCCACTTCAAGTTCATGGTTATTTCTGGAGAAGGAAGAAAGGCAATGAAATAGTGAGAGCTTTAGCCATATCTAAAACATTTTATTTCTTTAAAAAATAATTCCGAAGCCAATATGACAAAATGATAACATATGTTAAATCTGGATGTAGATGTCATTTATACTTTTCTGAGGGTTTGAAATAAAAGTTAAACTTTTTTAGGAAATTAAGAAGATGTTTGACACTGTGCTGGGGGCCCTATGGTTTCCAAATGAATTCTCCTGCATAATCATATAGGAAATTTAGTGCCTGCTGGGAAAACAGAATTCAATCCATATGAAATAATTAGTGGGCAGGTGAATTCACACCAGAATGGCAGGGGCTGCATTTGAAATACAAGTTCAGAGAAAAGCATCATAAGCTCCCTAAGGAGTTGGGGAAGACTTCCTGAACCAGAGGCTGGCACCGAGCTGGGTCATAAGGATGAGCTGGATTCAGGGAGAAAGAGCATGGGAGGAAGAGTAAACTTCCTAGGCACACCTGAGCACAGGTGCGCCAATCATAGTAGTATGACAGGTGTGGGGCAGGAAAGCGGATGGAAAGAATGGTGGCGGCACTTTGTTCTTCTGTTTCCTCAGGTCCCAGTGCGGTTGCCTTGATTTCATACTCTTCTCTTGGAAACATCATAAATGCAACTTTTTTTGACGAGATGAATGAGAAAGATGGAGTTTTCCTGAACTCCCGGGTAGTGAGTGCTGCTATTGGACCCAAAAGGAACATATCTCTTTTCAACTCTGTGATTCTGAGTTTTCAGCACGTGAAGGTGAGTCAAAGCTGCAATTTGAGTTTGCTTGGGTTTCACAGAGATAGAACAGTTTCCAAAGCCTCCCCAATCAGTGGTTCTGGGCCTGCTCTGCCCCATATGGTTGCCAGGAGCCACCTGTAGTTAAAAAGCATTTAAAATGTGGTTGATCTCACCATTTTGGATGGTCCTTGAAAACAGGAACTTTGTTTTTGGCATTTATCATCCAGACTATCCTAAACCTTGGATCCCTGTTCTCTCCCGGTATCCAGCTAATGAATAGTTAGCTTGTAACAGGAACTGTTTCTATTTATCAGAGTTTAGATGGGGGAAGGGACAAGGAACAGCCCGTGAAAGGGGGAAGAAGTTGTGAGTAATCCTTCACCTTTTCACTTCTTCATTTGCCATTATGGTCAAGGGTCATCTCAGTAAAGCCTCTAGCCACAAGTGGCACAAGTTCTCCTATGAAAGGAATATGAAAGAAATGGGTAATGATGATTGAATGCAGAAGTTAAAAAATAGGAAGAAAGGATGAGATAAGAAAGAGATAAGAAAGAAGCAAACACAGTAAGGGATGGTGAGTTCCACTTCCTGATCGTTGAGGATGGTGTCATACTCAGACTAAAGGTTGATAAGATGTGTCAGCACTGAGTCCACTTATTACCATTTTTGAGTTTTAAAATACTAGTTCTTCAAAGCGTGGTTGATAGAGTGGGCATGAGTATGCATATTAAAGATGCCAAGAGCGAGAAAAATTGCTGTAGAGAAAAAAAGAAATGGTGGATGGGCAATGGAGAAGTAGAGCTGAGAGAGAGTAGCAGAGGAGAGATTAAAATGAAGTGAAAAATTAAGGGGAACTTTGGGGAAATAGTAGAACCTTAGAAGAGATTTTTTTTTAAATCATAGGAGTTTTTTTAATCGTAATTGTTTGTAATTTGCTTTGCAATATTAACCCTTTTCCCCAACATTCTACAAAATCTTGAATAAAATTTCTATTTATTGCGTTCATTAAAATAATTAATTAAAATAAAATGTGATGGGTCAAGATTGAGATTTCAAAGACTTAGTATTTCTAAGACTTAGTATTTCCAGATTCCAAAAACTTAGTAAGAAAAAAGAATGTAAAGTAAAATATCTCCTTAATAATTTTTACCTTGATTACATATATTGATTTATAATGGCATATTAAAAAACACTACTTCGAATATAATGAGTTAAATAAAATCTATCTTTAAAATTAATTTGACCTGCTTCTCTACCCTTTTTAATGTGGTTGGTAGAAAATTTCAAATTACATAAGTGACTTACATGCTATTTCTCTTGGGCAGCATTATTCTAGTGTGTGGAATTATTTTAGTTGCAGGTACCTCCTACATCTATGAAATTGGAAGTAAGACATAATATTCATTTCTGCACAGAAGCTTGGTATTAACTGTAAAGACTACATAACTTAATCAGAAAAAAAAAGCTTATTTAATCCATTGCCTTTTCCCATTCTATGCCCAAATTCTTTTTTATTTTTCCTCGAAGTAATTCTCCCAAATAAATCTAGTACCCACTTGGCTGCCTAAACTCTTAAAGGTAGGAGGGGCACTAGCCAGACATAGATGCAGTAAAATTAATTTGTTCTCTTCCCTTTCAGCTCTGTTAAGACAATAAGTATTGAAGGAAGACTTACTGTTTGTGACAACATGAATGAACCTTGAGGTCATTATTCCAAGTGACATAAGTCAGACAGAGAAAGACAAATACTGTATGATCTCACTCATGTGTGGACTCTAAAAAAGCCAAACTCATAGAAACAGAATAGATTGGTGGTTGCCAGGGGCCGGAGGTGAGAGAAACAGGTGAAGGTGACCA